CTGTTGATTTAATTACTTCGATTTTCACCTGTAAACAATTCAGTGTTTAAAAATGTCAATCATTCACTCTCTCTCCCTCCCTCCCTCCCCCCCTCCCTCTCTGTCTGTCTGACTCTAACTTCACAATATTTGTATAGGCCTTTATGTCACACAGTTGAGGACTTCAACATTCTGACAAACAGCCTATAAACATTGTGAAAGGAAGTGACGCTAACAACTATAGTGCCGATGAAAATTAATCGCGACGCCATTTCCGATCAAACACTTCTTCCATTTCTGAGTTTTATCTGGTATTAATTGAATAATAACAATAATAATTTCGAGTAATCTAGTAAAGCCACATGTCTTCTTTCTATTGGGTCTGAACACCGACAGCCATAAAATATCTCAATGGGTGCCACGTAATATCTCGGAGGACATCTAAGTTAAATCAGCTTCCTTAGGTTTCATGGTCTAATCAACATGAAATATCCAACTATATCAGCAATACTTGATTTTGCAGTAAAATTAGGGCATTCAATTTTTAGGAAACCCACAAGTTCACTCCGACTGCTTAATTTTCAAGAAGTTGGTAGGAAGAGGGGGTTGGGGAGGGGGGAGGGGGCGATTGACGTGATTTTCATGAAAAACAAGGCTAAAAACCACGTGTAGGTCGTTTTTCATATCAGGTGAAAGCTAGCGGCGAATTTTACCTTATTTGCTGTCAGTGTCAGATGTGAACACAGTTGTCACCGGAATAAATGCATTATGTAGCATTTGGGATCAAAGTCTATTAAAAACTTAAATAAGGGATTAAATCGTAATAGCTGAAGAAATCTTATTTACACTCTAATCGAATTTCCAAGATTTGAATTACCTCAGGATTTGAAGCTAATTCGTGCGCTGTCATTACCACCAACCACTTTAGATGAAAAAAGCACCACCCTTAGTAAAACACTATTTATTCACGACATCACTATCACGTTCACTCACTCTCTCTCTCTCAACCTACCTCTAAACTGGCATAAAGCCAAAAATTGACTTGCTCAACTTGAGTGCAAAAAAAACAGTTCTCGAAGCATTGGGCATACACATGAATCAACCAATCAGATTGATGTGGGAATGGGATATAATTTTATTTCTATCATAATTATAGCAGAAAGAAAATGCTGATAATCCATGTTAGTATTGTCAAGTAGACCTCATATCAGTGAAATTGTTTGAACTAACTGCCAAAAATCAACCCAGAGGGGGACCCTTTGGTGCACAACTAATAATTCACCATGGAGAGAGGGTTGACAATGGCGTGTTTTATCATCTGTTCATCAATTTTGCATTCAGTGGTATCGAGGCCAGTAGCACTGATTACTTAAAGGTATCAAGAGAGATTAGAATGCATGCTTCCCATGGAAGAAGAGACAAGTTACCTCAACTTTATTCAATCGAAGTGCTGCCAGCATTTTCTTTAATAAACATGGAACGTTTCGCAAACGAATATGTTTAAGAAGGTCTATATGAAGATAACAAAGCGGTTTGATCAAGGTATAGCAATATGAAAGAAAGTGGCCGTTATAAAGGTGAGGAGATTTGACCGCGTGCAAGTTCAACGGACCTTTACTTTGGAAAAACATGACAGAAGAAAAATTCATCAACAATGCGTAAAAAGTACAACCCCTTAATCAGAACTGCTACTCTTGCCATATACGCGGTGCAACCGCCGCATACTAGCACCTGCTTCTGCAAGATAAGGCACATTTTGCAAGTCTTCAGCTTGTGCGTGATCACAATTCAAACTGAGAGCTGGTGATTAACATAGACAAAAGCTACACTGCCATAACTCGTGTCCTCATTGAAACTAAGGGCTGAGAAACTGCTGCTTGAATATGCAACTTTATTAGAAAGTATGAGGAGGGGATGCAGCCTCACAAGCCCTTGGTTTAGAATAAAGATATTATTTATGACGAAACTAAGGCTCAGGCCATCCTATTGTAATGTAAAGTGTCTAAAGATCGGCTAAGACAAGGGTTTTCTTATGTCTCCGTGTTACTCAGAGATACACAAAGAAAATAGCTAAATTGCAATTAAGGTCAAGCAAGTAAACTGCACTTGAGCCACGCTAAATGTGCTAGGTTAGGTACTCACAAATAGCACACATTCAGCAAACGGTATTACTGATTGATCAGATCAAAATTGGTTAGGATACGAGGGCACTAGAAAGTTATTTTTCCATCGAGGAGGTATCAAATCCATATTAATCTACTTAAATTACACCTCGAATATATCTGCCTTAAGCAGGCTTCAAACTCATGTTAATGGGTGCGTAAGTGCCCGTTTAATACTAGCCAAAACGGAGTGAGAAAATACGAATTTCTCAAACACAGCAACCCCAAGACGTTTTCCTTATAGTCAAATTGGGCGTTGAAGAACCCCCTTCTTTAATGAACTGAGGAATTCAGTGGATTTGACCCTTCAAATTACTTCCGGCCAAAAGCTCCATTTTTTGCAGAGTCTACCTCTAATTGTATCTTCTAGCCTGTTGACTTTCTCTATGAAATTTTGTGGATTAGCTTGTGGTTTTAAGGTTAATTATTTCACTCTCACCATAAAAAAGCTGTGTCAACACACGATTTAAGGTCAACTGTAGGAGGCACACTATATTTTACGTTAATCATTTAAATACACACACTCACACCCACACACACGCACACGCACACACATGCTTTGAAATGAAACACCATAGAAAAAAAAGATTATTCTAGACTAGTTAATTAATTAAATTAGTATCAAGCAGGAGTTAAAATTGCGACAATTCGCAAAGTGAAAAGCCGAACTAATGCAAATAGAGTTATATGATGCAATTATTGCATATTTGGAATGCACTTTTATGCAACTATTTTTAATCCTTATCTTCTTCCTTCTTTTGCCCCTTTAAAATTTCCTATTTTTAGTATCAATGCGTTCGTTCATTTAAATAGCATAAAGAAGTCGATTAGTCAAAAACTTAGTCAAGAAATGAAGCTAAGAACCTGAGTTTCAATGACTTCAAGAATGGTTCAAACGAGCCTATAACCTATCGATAAGAAGAGGATTTAGACAATAGCACCCAAACCGTATAAGTTGACCAGAAGTACACTTTTTACTCTTATCACGTTTATGAGAATTTGTTTGAGTTAAAGATGATCAAGAAGATTAGTCTAGATTAATACATTTATTCCCCAGTCGCAAAAGTTAGCTCCAACCGAACTAACGATCTCAAACCAGGCAACAGTAAATAGTCAATCAATATTGGTTCAAAAATGATACAGGACGGTAATATTAAACTAGCTCTATCCTTTATCCCCCAATTAAAATCAGTAGCATTCGTCACGTTTCTCCTTCAAACCAAATTAAAGCCAATAAATTGGGACATATAGGAAAATACAATGAGGATAATAATTATTATTGGAGAACAACTCGAGTGATCTCTATTGGTTAAAATGCATTTATTCGTCTCGTCCGTCCGATTATTGCTGTAAGATACTAGTGAATTAAAGTGCCAATTAAGTAAATAAACTGACCAAGTCGCTCTGAATAACGTGGTCAGGGGCTCTCACTGAAACTTGCGGATATAACAACGAAAATGAAACCTTACAACACTTGATGCAATAGTGAGAAACCCATGGCAATGCAACAGGGGAAAACGCAATTCTTCCGGAAATAGAATGAATTAATGCACTTGACGGTAATAATAATTTTACCTTGTGCTCCGTTAGACTACCCTTCCTCAGTTTTGCTCATCACATGCTACCACGCGAATAAATTTTGCAAAAGATTATCGTTGATATGGCAAGCAAGCAAAAATCGTAAGATCTAAGTATTATAGAGCATATATAAAAAAAGCAGTTGATACACTGATAATAAAATTCTTCAAACGGAAGCTAAAGTCCCTTTCTTCAAGAGAAAAGATATGCTTTATCAAGGGAATCCCTTTAGTTTGACTGCATGAATTGACTGGGAAATCTATATGACGCCAAAAACACTAAGATTCTAAACTTATCCATTGACTGGAGATAGAGAATTGATTTAAAATCGATCCATTGAAACAATTCCCTATCAATACTTGAATTGGGTGTTGCTCAAATATCCATTTAAATGCACTTCTCTAGTGGATAAGACTACCCATTATCCCCCCCCCTTTCTTCTAGCATACTCATTTAGCTATTAATGACGAGGTATAAAAAACGAGCACTGATGCACGCACATAAATCAAAATCCTCTTATATGTTTGCATTCGTAAATTAAACAGGAGCAGTAGTAGTAGTAGTAGTCGCTTTATTATTAATTACGTAGTTGCTGCTTCATTTTACCTTGGTATGTCACCGTTACCTAGGTGTACATGCGTGCACATTTAATTCTACCATATACGGCAAGATCGCACTAAGACCCACCCCTTCCCCAACCAATTTATCGAATTCCGCATGTGCGCGTTCGGGAGTGGGGGGTGGGGTGGGGGGACGAGGGTGAGAGCGTATTATGCCGCGAATAGGGAGAAACAAAAGCATTTAGTAACCTATTTCAGCACACACTAATAGTCGTGAATCTGTTTGCATCTGAAAAAAGGCCTCTATACTAGGTATGGCATCGGAGATCATGATCCCCCATAAGTGAGCGATCTCTGCAAAGCGCAAACGAAAGCACTTCAAATGATTGAATAAAAAAGATGTAAACACGATGGCGGGTGCTCCAATTCAAACCACCTTCTTTTCAGTCATATTAATAAACGTTAGAGGATATCGTTTATCTAGAATAAACTGAAGTGGGTATTTGATCCATGTCTATAATATTAGTCCGAAATTTGATCCAATGTCTTCGCCTTTAAGTAATAAATTAGAAGCGATGAAAATTACTAAGGAAAATTATATCCCAAAGAAACTAAAAATTTCATGATTTTGGAGCATTCATGAGGTAAGATACACCTAATTATCAACTGGTACGCGTGTTACTCTGATCCCCTCATTTCGAAATGAACTATTGCTCTGTTACTAGCTTCTAGGATAGCGGTCACCCGGGGTTCTATACCAAAGCATAGGAAAACTCACAGAATCAGTAACCTTAGAACTCTCGGTTAAGGTAAAAGTATAAACCCTAAAATATTGTGCATCAAATGGATTAAAGAATATTTGAAAAGATTTGACTTACGTGGTGGAAGAAAGAAGAGGCGTTGTCAGCTCGAAACCCGATCCTCAACCGCTTGTGGTTCTCCACAGCTCTATCGCTCAAACCTTGATGACCAATGAAATCGCTTGGAAGAATACCCGGAATTCTCTGCTCATTACTCAGTGGTTTTAATTCATCCTCAAGCGAGGAAATTGCAAGCAGAGAGTACTTTGTTAGTATACAATCGAATTCACTGAAAAAAAAATCAGAAGCAAAACGTTAGGTAAGAACTTTAGGTATGCACCATAATTTTGTAAGAAAGAGGTAAAAAGCTTTGCAGTCACAAATTCGGGTTTAAGTAATTTGCGTCCAAACACCATCAAAACATAATCTATGGGGCGAATACATTAATTTGGAGAGCGATGAAGCGTCTTCCTCAGAGTTAGGAAATAGAGATTAAATGAATATGGGCGAGAAGAATAAAAGACAAAGTTGGATGGGGATAAAAACCGAGAAGGCACTTAAAGGGAGGTCGTAGGCAGAGGGGGGAGGAGCTCAATGCGTGGTTACCGCATTCACTGAGTATATACCTATGGACAACGAGCTCAAGACCTCAAACTTTGGAGGCCACCACTATAACTACTGCTCCTACTGTTCACTGTCTTGACTCAATTTTCCATCTTCATCCAGAATCGCCATTATTAGTATTATACCGTTATACGGTTTCCCGAAGTACTGCCTTCACTCTGGAGACACGTGCACAGAGCGTGCTGTGCCATCACACACACACTCACATTAAGTGTATGCATATGAATACACGCGGTGGGTAAAGCTTAAACGCCTTCATCAACGTAATCTCGCTCTCTGTCTCTCTCTCATACATCATCACACTTCGGAACAACATACATCTTTACACACGTACACATTTTACACTCAGCTGCAGATTGACTCATCATGACAACCACAATCACCTTTCCCTGTCTCTCTCTCTAGATAGAATAGGTATATCTGAAAGCAACGTGAGTAAAATAGATCACCTCTAATGCGCAAGCAAACACACGCACACGCACACACGCATTAAATACCTTTAACTTCGAAATCAAATTGGCCACGAAGTAAAAGAGAATGCAAGTTAGATATTCGGCCAGTTTACAAAAGTAATAGAAAGAAACATACACAATCATATATAAACACAGCATATCTAGTAAACCGAACCCAAAAACATGAGTCAATTGTTAATTGCCTTGGCATATTGAATTGCAAGAAATATGCGCAAGTCATTTTTGTATCGATTTTAACAAATTACACGATGAATAAAATGGCAGATAAAGGTGGGGTTATTACTACTAGTGATCATTCGTGCAACTTGTGATTTTCTGTGGAGAGAAAACTAGAGCAGCATCTGAACACAAATATTTAAATTTCCTGTCGTGTTGAAACACGATTGGTGTTAGTTTAAGGTGTGGGTTAATTTTAATCAATAAGCAGTGGAAGGAAGAACTATATGGAGATTTTTGTTGATAGGTGAACAAATTTCTGTGAATGAACTCAGGAACTCACCTTCAATGATAAGTTTAACATTATTCAGAGTTATGGAACTTTCTGGAATTAATGATTAATTGGTGTTGGGCAAGTAAGAGTTGACTAGGTGAAAAGATGTCATCTTAATGCGCACTTCTATTTATATCCCCACCGCCACAAACCTCCCTTTGTCTATATGAGTTGAGTAAGCATGATCGATTCGACTCCAGATATAATCGCTTCTAGATAAAATTAATAGAATATATCTAATGCCAGTCTTAAACATGGATCGAAAACTATTAAAATGTGAGGAGGTGGAAGGAGGGTAATAAGGCAAATTAACAAACACTACTAATTTTATAATTTGGAGCAATGGAACTTTCCAGAAGGAATGGCAGGCCAAATTAGAATTTTGCGTAGGTAATTTGAGTGTATCTTGTGTCCCGTATCTTTCCGCACTTCCACCCCCCC